GCACTGCGTAATAAGGCTGACGCGTATGTACTTTGCATCATATCCACACTTAAATCTTAAAGCAAATCGCTGGATATCACACCTCAAGACAAAAAGAGAGAGAGAGAGAGAGAGAGAGAGAGAAGGAGATAGGGAGAGAAAGAGACGAAGAGAAAATGAAAAGATAAAAAATGCGGGAAGAAGCACTATATATTGAGAAAAAAAATGGAGAAAAATATCAATACATATTAATATATATATATATAAATATATATATATATATAAATATATATATAATAGATATTATATTATTACTGAATATTATATTAATATATGATGCTATATATATATTAACTATTTCTATTATGTCCGTCTGCAAAGTCTATTAGAAGAGTCTATCCTGTCGACCTATTCTTACGACCCATGTGGATCTTCTCGGATACACTGTATGTACATATAAATATGTGCGTGCGCGCGTGTATCGACGAGTGTGTGCGATTGGTAATAGAGGCGATGGAGGAGGAGGGAGAAGACGAAGAGGAGGAGGAAGCAGCGGGGACGGTTTCTATAAAAAAAACGACGTCTTACCGAACACCGCCGGCGCGAATCGAGAGCGCGCGTTGTTAGTTTAATACCGATACACGTGTACGCGCACACACGTGTACGAGACCCAGCGAGCGACCAGGTCGCGCGCGGGTCTCCCGTCCTCGTTTCCGACGATCAATGTGTAAGATCTTCGTCATTAAATGTTCGTGACACGCTCGTGGCAATAAAAATAGGACGCTACGTACCGTATCGTTTAGCGAATTTCTCGCTTCAATCCTCTCCGGCGGTGTCGTCGGCGCGCGTCGACGTTCGCGCACGAGTCGGAAGGGGCGAAGGGGAGGGTGCAATTGTCAGAAATTGATCGGTCTTCTGTTCCGAGGAGGCTTAGCTTCGATCGGGTAACCTCGTGTCCCACACGGAGATGGAAGATTAGTTGCATTAACGTGACGCGATGAACAAACCAAGCGCGTCCCGATTGAAAGCATGAATTACTGTGATTCTTACGAACCAATGTAAGTATAAGTATAACTTTCAAGATGTACAATCAACAGAAAGCAACAAAGGCAAATTAGAACGCAGAACGCAGATCTTTTCAGCGAATAATTTTATGATATAATTTTATAATATAAATATCGTGTAATCACAAGAATCGTATAATCATTCTCGAACGCGTTCGATCTCGATATTTCGGACCCTCTTCGGCGCATGTTACAATAAGTGAAAAGAAGTGTACTGTCGGATTACATAAGACGTTTTTACAACGTCGTGGTCATCGAGGCTCGTTGAGTCCAAGTTAATGGGCACTTCGAGAGTGAAAATTGTATACGTTGCCTTTATTATCAGAAATTAATCTTGGACAGGAGTATGTATGATACAAAGGAAAGAAAAACTCAGTTCCTGCAACGGATTAAGGACCGGATGAAAATTCAGTAACGAGAAATGAAGACTTGACGACGAGAAATGGTGTCTCTGTTACCGCGACTGAGAACATTTTTCGTGTATATTTGCTGCATTGTGAGACTCTCTTAGAACAACTGACTGAGAATAATTCACCGCATAGAAACCTCTTACGGGAATCTTTTTATTCCTACAACCGAATTCTCTCGTCTGGTTCCAGAAAATAATGGAAACCGCACCTATACAACGGAATTGTTTCTTCCGCGCGCGAAAAAAAAGTGAACTTGATCTTACTAGGTGGATATGATCCACCTTGATCCAATCTCAGCTTAAAGCAAAACGATATATACATAAAGCTAAGTGATCTTGTAAATTAAGCCGACGGTTAATCAGTGTGTACAACGTGTTGAACCAAATTCGGTTATAAGAAGCAGAAATTATTCTGTCTCCTTCAGATGACGAGAGACGTCGTTCATTGTCACGTTAATTCGACCAAACTTTCTTCTCCGTGCAGTTGCACAAATGTCTGAAGTACGCCTCGGAGAGACCGTCTGAAACAACTGGGGTGTGTCGGATACGTCTTTAGACACTTGTGTCTGTCTGGGATCAAATATGAATCTCCTGTTTTAATCTTCAACTTGAAGATCTTTTCGAGCGAGATATTCGAGCGAGGACACAGCGGGATATTCCTCCGTGATTATCGGAGTGTTTCCTCCGAGAGTGAATCGCGAGGAGCTCGGCGGACCGAGGATCGAGGTGAAACCTTGAAACGGCGGGAAATCAGGGCGTAGAATCGCGCGCGAACGTCGACGGTTATCTCGACGCGGCCACTGTAATAATCCCGCGACACGACTCCGTGAATGATTCTTTGCGAGATTAGCGTGTGTATCCCGATGCTGCGACGGACCGCGTAGCCACGACATTAATAACGACGGCGAGCGATTTATTCGCGCATCGCGCGACACTTTTATACGTGTGTGTGATTTACATAAAAGGGAGAAAAGAGAAAAAGAAAGAGGCCCGAAGTATTGAGTTGACACGGCGGCCAGCGGCGGCGCACATCGATCGTACCTCCGCGATTATTTAATGGATTGTGTACGTATACGTTTTTGAACACGCGCAGCGGTTAAATTCATATGAACTATGAGCAAATGTGTGTGTCTCAGCCCATGTTGTCAAAGCATCAATAAAAGAAAGAGGTTTTATAAATAAATATCGCGCGGCGTGTGCCTTTCATTCTCCGCGTTTTTCTCTTCGCAGTCCGCCTTCTCCGCCGGTCTCGCGCGATTAATGAGCGCTTGTTTCGGGAGGGATCTCTCCTGCGGAGAGGAAGAGATCTTTGCGAATAAATGCAACGTGTGTTCGCAACGCATATTTCTCCGGCGAGTTTCGCAACGCATTTTATACCCGATAGGAAGATACACTTCTTGAAAATAAAGAAAGAATGAATTCTGGTCGCCGAAAGCGTCCTTGCGGAACTCATCGATAAAAAAAGTGTTGCAACTTTTATTACATACCGATTGTGGTGGGCGGAAGGTTGCAACATTTTTTTTGTTTTTTCAAGTTTCGGAGCTCATCTCGCGCCCAACCGGGAGAATTTGTTTCTTAGTTATTCCCGGGAGTTACATTCTCCTCCTTAGATGCGAGATGCGTTGCGAAACTCATCGAAAGAAAAAGAAAAGTCGCGACCTTTCTGTTCACCGCTGTACAAAGGATGAGTCAAATGGAAACTTTGAAATTGCGATAAAAATTCGACACATCTTGCCGTTGTTCCTGCAAGTTAGCAGTTTCCCAGGTAGCAGAGTAACGTCGAATAACATGTTGAGGAGTTTTTACAATACCGTCTTTCAGATACGATAAACGCTAAAATGCGTTCCGATATTCACTACCAGTACTGCGAATAGTTTATGTCACGTGTCTATAGATTTGAAATTTCAAGTTGGTAGTGAATACCGGAACGACATTTTTTTAGCGTTCGCAGTAAAGTATTTTCAATGGAAGAGCATAGTCTATGAATTCAAACCCTTACCTTTCGGCCTTTCTACTGCGCCCTGTATATTTACCAAACTCATACAGCGGACCAAGGAAGTGAATCGGCCGCCGTCGGCAAAATTCCGGCTGTCGAAAAGGGACGAATTGCGGAACGAAGAAGAAGGGGAGGACCTGGTTAAAAATCTGCGGGTCCCCCGACTGGTTTAATCTTGCGCTCGACGAAGTTTGGTGGCGAGCAAGCAGTAGTCGGCAGGAATGAGAGTGCGAGCGAAAGAGCAAGAGAGAGATCCAGGGAGAGTGCGAGAGCGAGAGAGAGAGAGGACGTGCTCGACGAGGAGGACGAGGGTCCAGGAACATCACCAAGAGCCAGTCGCTGGGAGCCCGATTTTTGTAAGGCCGCCTATCCGCATCTAAATTAAATCGCATCGCGTGGATCGTCCCTTCGGTCGACCGCCATGCAGCCCTTCCGACGGACTTGGGGGAAGTGACGGTAACGCCCAGTTTAAGTAAAATGGTTGCGTCGGGGTCGTACCGTGCCGTCCTCTCCACCTTGGCTCGGCTGCCGCTCGAAGAACCAGCCACCCTACCGGCAGACTCTTCAGCTGCAGGCTCTTCAACGAGTGCCTCCGGCAAAAACCGAAACATCCCCGAACAGGGTTCACCTCGCCGGGGTTTCGAGTTCCTCCAGGTTTACCGTCGAGGAAAACTCGCGACGCTTCATCAGCTCCAGGAGTTCGGATAAGGTCTGCATCCATTTTTAGTCAGGGAACGGGGGGATAAGCAAAGGATTCTCTAGATCTTCCGTCTGATGACCTCCTAGGAAAGTTATGTCGGGAGCGTGGTCTTCTGTCACACGATCAAACGCGACGTTCGTGTTTTCTCGTGGATTTCTTTCCTCTTGAACGGCTCCGTGAACGACTTCTCCTATGTTTCGGCATACTTACAAAAAGAAAACGAACTAAATAAGAAACTAAAAAGTGAACTCTGCTTACTCTGCTTACTCCGCAAGAACAGCAAACATAACGATGTCGAGAGATGGCACAGGCGCGCAGCGCTGCTTTTGTTTTTGCAAAACTCTGTTGGTAACGCAGGATCGGAGGCGAAACTACACAGTTGCCCATCCGGACGAGACATAATTGGCTCAATTAAATGACATCATTTTTTTCGCACAGACATGTATGATCATATATGTGACCACATATATGGGCAAAATTCATATATGATTTTATATAAATTATATATAATCATATATAATCATTTCTTCCCGGGGACTTGATTTAAACGTACAAACATTCGCCTAATCGATCGATCCGACATTGTTGGATACGTGCCGCGAATGAGAAACCGCACGTTTCGTCTCGTATGTAGGCGCTTATGGTTTTTTGCGAGATATGCAAACGCGTTATCGTTTAATTGACTACTTATCTAATCTTTAGATTAATAATGTCAACAACGAGAACCTCTTCGCTTCGGCGAAAAGTTGTCGAGAACGTCTCGACGAATAATACACACACGTTAGAATACCGCAGTGCCTGACAATTAGTTAGGTAAAAAAAAAAACGAATATTATTGCAAAGTCGTCGATGTCACTGCTGTTGAACTAAAAGATGTCAGTTTATTCAAGCGTCCTCCGCATTATTCCCTGCGGAAACATACTCTTCCATCCTCTTTCAATTAAGAAATATACCTTTCTGTCTCCCTCCCCCCTCTGTCTCTCTTGATCCTGCTTTATAATGAGAGCCTGCGTAACTCTTAGTAACACTTTATTTGTCTATTATTTTAAATAACGCTCCTAGTCATTTTGTTCGATAAGAATTAGTCCTAATACTTCAAAGTTAAATCCGTCATATACAATCTGTATAAAGCGTAAGTTGGATAAAAAAATGTTCGCACGCATTCAATACGCAAAGTTTGTGTGTATCCAATCGCGTACATATTAAGTGTTTCGTCATGTGACTAAGAGAACATTATCCAACATGAACAGCATGAATATAATTGGTGTAAATAAACGGTATTTATCATTTATAAATGATTTAAGTACAAAGAATCATTAAAGGTACACTGTGTGCAGTAAGACACTTGCGCCATGTAGAAGTTTCCAAAATCTCCTTAGTAAGTTACCTATATTTTGTGTGCGGAGCGTTCGATGTGGCAGCTATAGTGAGATTCGCGTAGATTAGATAAAAATTTGTCGGAGTAAATATTCACCTCATGCCAGTTTTGAAGCTTTCAAATACTCAGGCATTTAAGCACGCAATGGACATACAGTCTGTTCCATATGTGTACGACCTTAATTCGAGACAGTTGACATAGTGTTATCCGCATTATAACGCTGGAAAGCTTGATGCGTGCCCGTTTTTACAGTATATCTCTGCTTAAAACGTTGGGTAGAGAATGAAAGAAAATTTATTTATCATATCTTATGTTGATTTTGATCTCCCTTATTTCGTAACTCCCCTGCAAAATTTCATTAATAAATTATATCATATATTGTCACATCTTTTGTAAATATCTTATAATATTCTATATTTCTCTGTCCTCTTTTTCTATCATTTTGTGCAGGTTTGTTATGAAAGAATATTATAAGCAGTTTATCATAAAACAATAATAAATACATGATGTATTATTATTCCTTATGATTGAGAAATATCAACTAATTATGTAAACATTCGTATTCAACATGATGGAAAAGAATAAATATCATAAAATATGATTAAACTACCCAAATAGCCAAACCTGTGCAAACAGATCTCGAATAGAACCTACAAATTTTTGATGGCAGAAAAGCAATAAATCCAGCACAGGTTTTGTTCTATCACACTACGTTGCCAAATATCTCAAACGTCACGAAGCAGTGTTCTTAATTTTGTATGCAAAGTTAAGTCGTTATTAAATATAATTTTGCAATATTTCTCTGAATCTACTTTGATACACCAGAGTTCCTTCTTTCTAGGTTGTGTATTCTCGATACGCTGTCGTACATTTTCTTGTGAAACAGACTGTATTTGATTTTAGACCAGACAATCGCTACCGTTTGTTCGCTCCATCTCGACCGGTCCGTTGCCGAAAATTTTTCGATTCTTCGTGTACGGTATAAGACCGATCAAAATCCCGGAGACGATGATCCAACCGCCAGCCATGAAGAAGGACAGATCCCAGGAGTTGGTCACATCGAAGAACCATCCAGCTAACGGAGGCCCAAGAAGGTTGCCGATTCCTTGACACAACAAAGTGAGGCCGTAAGCGGTGGTGAACCTCTCTAAGGGTATCAGCTGTACTAGAATAACGGGCGTGAAGCTGAAGTTGCTGGCGAAGAAGAGGCCGAAAGCTGCCGAGCTAGCGACTAGTAGCGTATAATGATAAGTGAATATGGATATCAATATAGTGGCCGTTCCGCAGGCTATTAGGCACCACGTGTACGTTTTGCTGACGTTCATCCATGGTTGATCACCGGCCCAACCCAACGCGACCTGAAAACAACGTCGGACGTGAAAAAGATCCGAAGTTACTAAAACGTAAGTCCAACGTGATCTGAGATTACCATTCCGACTGTATTAGTTATACCGATGATACCGAGGAGATTGGCGCCATCGGTTTCGGTGTAGCTGTTTCTGGTGAGATGCTCTGCTAGATAGAAATATGGCACGATAAACCAAGTGAACAACAGTATCGTCGACAACGATAACAACAGGAAGTGCAGTTCGACAAACATAGAGAAGTCCAACATGCCCTTTAGCAAATCCACCAGCTCGTCGTACCATTTCTGTCGAGAAGGAAGACGCAAAATGTACATTATATATATATATATATATATATANTATATAATAAAAATATATATACAACATAATTAATACCTTATATATATATATAAAACTATATATATATATAAAAATATATATATATATAAAAATATATGTTGTATATATATTTTTATTATATATATATATAATAAAAATATATATACAACATAATTAATACCTTATATATATATATAAAACTATATATATATATAAAAATATATATATATATAAAAATATATGTTGTATATATATTTTTATTATATATATATATAATAAAAATATATATACAACATAATTAATACCTTATATATATATATAAAACTATATATATATATAAAAATATATATATATATAAAAATATATGTTGTATATATATTTTTATTATATATATATATAATAAAAATATATATACAACATAATTAATACCTTATATATATATATAAGGTGTAAATTATGTTGTATATATATTTTTATTATATCAATAATAAAATCTTGTGTGTGTGTGTGTGTGTGTGTGTGTGTGCGTGCGCGTGTGTCACCAAAATTGGAAGGAATTACATGTTGAAATCAGTATCTTACATAATTACGAGGACCAAAGTTAGTACCTCGAAATTAGAAATATTATCATGTAATACTTCCACAAATCCCAATAAAGATTTTATTTCAACGTGTATCTCAAATTTGGCGACACAGGATTAACAGTGTAACGCTTCACGAATAATACCTGTTCATTTTCTTTAGCCAAGGTGATCATACTGTTCGTGTAGATGTCCGGACAACTACTCGCTCTCAGCCGGTACTTTCGCAGATTCAGAACAGCGCCGCGATACATGACGGAATTCCTGTGCACTCTGATGTCCTTGAAGTAGTGGGTGTTGGTACTGAACTGTCGTCTGAGCCAGGGCAATGAGTCCGTCCTAATAACGCCGCCTTCGTTGCCAATGTTACGTTTCAACGCGGGTTTCGGTTTTTCTGTCGGATATATCTGCAAAATTCTCACATGATACATCGTGACGAGCCTGCGATCAGCGGGGATCAGGAGCCGCTTTTCTTACCGTGAGCGCGACGTCCTTCGTCATCAAAGGATCCATCTCCTCCGACTCCTTCCTGGACATCTTCCTGGCGGGTTTCGTCGCGGCTTGAGGAGGCGACGAACGGGAATCCTTACTTTGCTCGTTAATCGCTTTCGATTCCGTTGCTCGTTTAAGCCTTCGCAAGAGATAGCGATAAAGATTACATAAAATTATGATAATAAAGATAATTATAACAAGGATGACGTAACGCAACGACTGTAATATTCCGAGTGCTCGATATACGTAGAAGCGTCTTGCAAGAATGAATCACGCAAAAGTTTCCGTCGTAAGGTGTTCTCGTTGATATCCGCAACATGACAACTGCGTATGTACCTATAGCTGTACCAACCAACCTCATGGACATGGTGATGCCGCTTTTGTTAGGAATCTCCCCGGTCGAGTCGTGCAGCTGCTTATCGGACGAGCTTCTGCAGAGCAGAAGGCTGGGGTAATTCTCCAAGATGACAGTGTACAGCCTTGAATTGGACAGTAACAACTCCAACGCTTCCAAAGGCACCTGAAATCTCAAGAGAGAACACTTACAGATTTATTTATTCGTAAATATGCCGAGAACCGGGCAAAGTTGTCGTTTTACCAGCGTCAAATCAAGAGTCCATATTCTGAAGTCACTTTCATCGATAAGAGTGCCTTAAATGCGGCTTCTCAGCCAATCAGGTAATTCCTAAGTCACTTTTGGAGTTCATTTTCAAAATATGGACCAAGGTCGATGCAGCGGCAAGAGAGACGCAAGTTGCGCTGCTCACCTTCTCGCTCCTCTTCACGAAGGTCGGCAGATTGACCACGCTTCTAAAAGACATCTTCCGGTTCGCGTCGCCGCCGACGGTCGCTGCTGTCGTGGTGTTCAGACTCTGTACGAAGTATTCAGGCACATGATCGCTTCTGAGGAGCCTCCGCAGCTCGTCGACGCCCGGAAACTCGTCCGACGGGATCGCCTCCGGCTTGATGTCGTCCGACCTGCCGTGGGACTTCTTCGGCGCTTCTTGGTCGTGCTTGCGCTGCTCCAAAATCCACCATTCCGGATCCCTCATTACCGCCCCGGCGACGATCATGTTGAAAAACGTGCCGGCCAGGAGCAGACAGGTGCCCCGCCAGCCGTACTCCTGGATGAAGTACGTGGTCATCGGGGCGTAGACGAAGGTGCCGATGCCGGTGCCGCAGGCACCGAGACCCACGGCCAAAGTCCGCTTCTTGTCGAACCAATAGGCGATACTGACGACGGCGGTGACGTAGCACAGACCCAAACCGAGGCCGGCGATCACGCCGAAGGTTAGGTACATCATCTCGATGGTTCTGCCGAAGCTGCTCAGTATGAAGCCTACGCCCGATATCAAGCCGCCGGCGATGGTCATCTTCCGGCACCCGTAGCGGTCCACGAGGGCGGACATGATCGGGCCCGACAATAGAGGTACGGCCATGAAGAGCGAACCGATCCAGGCAGTTTTGGACTTGGAGGCGCCGAACTCGTGCAGAAACTCGATGTAGAGCAGGCCGAAGCTGAAAGAGACGCCGTCGGCTATCATGGAGATCACCAAGGATGCCAACACGACCATCCAGCCCCAGCCGCCGTCCGGCACCTTTGGCTTCTTGCGTGCTTTCTCCTCCGACACAGCGATGGAACAGTTCCCCGGTTTGAGGAGGTTTTCCGGGTCGATGGGATCTCGGAGTCTTTCATTCGGGCGCTCACCGGCTTCCAACTTGGACCGATTCTCGCAAACGAGCGGAGTTCCCGGACTGCTCGGTGTACCCGGGCTCAGCTCGGTCGCCGTGTCGGTTAATTCCTCCTCGTGCGTCGGGTCAAGCCTGACGAAGTCGACATAGGCACTGTTCTGGACGGAACTCGGACATATCGTGGGGCTGCCGTTTCGCCAGCCGACCAACGGCGCTTTCTCCGGCTGACGGTTGTTACTCGTGGCCGAGCAATTGTAATAATTGTTGTTGCCGTTCCGCTTGCCGTCGTAGTTGTTATTCCTGCGGTAGTCGCCGCCACGATCCACTTCCCTAATCTCCCGCAGGGAGGTCTCATCCCCGTTCTCCATGCTCGTCTAGATATAGGTGATTGCCGAGTGGATCCAACGACGCCGCCAGCCCTTCAGCCCTTGGATCTCGCTGGGGAGATATCCACCTTGTCCGCCGGTTACCATAAGGACCTTCGGGACGATCCTTGACGACTCACGGAACGTCGACCGCACGGGACTCAGCATACACGCACCTTCGGGTCGCTTGTCCTGTCGAACGGTTTCACGAGCGTGTTAGTCGCCGAGTGTCTTGCTCTCATCAGTCAGATGACTATCGGATCATTTAGTTTTCAATGAATTTCACTGTTGTTATTCATTTGTTTATGCGTGCATTCTAGTTATGAAGAACGATCAATGGCTCGATAGTAAGGAAACCGAATGGTCAAAGATTAAGAAAGAATTGTCAGGGTCCGAAAATGAATTAGTTCCTGGGATGAAAAAATGCGGAAAGGTGAACAAAAGCACGAGCATGCGTGCCTTAAGGTAGTTGATTCGTAGATTGCGGGACTTTCAGTGGCGATATTAAGGGTAAGTTTATTATTTATTGAACAAAAATTTTCTCATAATTTTATTTAACTATCTGAGTAACAAATGTTAATTTTGATCGTGATATTAAGGCAAATATATACACGATATTATCTATTTTATATTTTTATTTTTCTTTCTTTATTTATTTATCATTTTATAATTCATACGTCACTCGAGCTAATAGAGGTGTACATAATACAGAAATACATAATACATGATAGAGAAAGCGGTATGTAAATATTTAAATATTTATATATGTACATATTTTGAGGCTCTTACTATAAATTGTAAATTTTCTATACTATATCTTCAAAACAAAATAGTCAAAAATCTTGAAATGTTTATATGTCTCTTTATTAATCTTTGATATCACACATTTTCATTAAAATTCTAAATGTGGTTCAGGAGAAATTAAAAATGTAAGTTAAAATATTAATCTCACGGAATATGTATAAAAAGTGTCATCTATAATTGCAAATATCTCAGTTTCCGAATGGCAAGTAGTTTTCCAACTTTACAAACGTGTAATATTTCCATCAATATGCAATTAAAATTTAAAACGATTCCTACGGAAGTTGTTTGACGGATTAAAACATACCATCAGAAGAAAATCTTTCTTCTTTGAATTGGATTAAAATTGAGACGAACACATCGCGCTAAGTACTAATCATGACGCTTGTAACGAAAGTTGCGTGTTAGGGCGCCATTGTCATAAAAAAAAAAAAAATCTATTAAATAATGGTTCTCAGTATGGAAGTAATAGATAAATTTTGTTCTGTATGACTTCTGAACAATGAAGTTGAAAAACCTCGAGAAAAATGTGGGAAATATATTTCCCATATTTGCGTCTTTACATTTAATTATTCATATAATTACAACCGTGCGATCAGTGAGACACACGGTCATTGTTAAAAATTGTGTGAGAAAATCGCGGTTATTAACATAATATTTAATTACAATGCACCGAAAGAGAGAGAGAGAGAGAGAGAGAGAGAGAGAGAGAGAGAGAGAGAGCGATTCTAAGAACAGGAAATACGCTTAAATCAACGTTCGTTGGTGGTAATTGATCGCGACGCGTTTTATCTGGAGGTCTCGATGCAACTGCCGGGCGATGATTAAATACGCAAAAACTTGTTGCAAAATACTGAGGGACCGCAAACAATAAACGAATGGGCGGATTATCATATCTCGTATCTCGCGAATTTTGCGTAACAGACTTTCTCGCGAAAGCTGCAACGTACACTGAGAAAATTATCATTCTACTACTACAGAAAGCAATTTACTCACTCAGTTTACTTTCTATCTTTTAAATAACAGTTATCTTCAAGAAAGAATTTTATCTTGATAACACAATCTTAAAATATATTTATCACAAATCTTAGAAACGCTCAAATTATTACTTACATAAAAAAGAAGAATTTATTCTCTTTTCTAGAATATTATTTCTTAAACTTTGTTAATTTGAATAAGTAAATAAGTAAGCCGAAGTTTGTTTTAATTTGATATTCTTGATTAAAGTACTGAACTTACTAGAATTTAGAATAACATAGAAAACATATATTTTGAATAAATTTGATGCTTATGATTAAACATATTCGCGAACATATAAATTTAGAAACACTTGAAATGAAGTAATATTTACTTGAGTAATATTTACTACAGTATATATTTTTCTACGTAGGCACAATGCAAAAATGCGCAGTAAAAAATCTCAAGTACTTTTAGCGATAAGCATATTTTCAAATACAATATTAAATGAATCAACTAAGTAACACAGTTAAAAAGATTTCAGATATAGTTATTGATGATAATTTTAAGAATGCGATAAAAAAATGACAAATTTTTTTATATAAAAATATTTATTATATTTGACATTATAAATGTCAATTTAATTAATATCAAATGTTACTATGCCACGAATAAAATTTAAGTCGAAATAATTAATATCATGTACTGGAAGAAAATATATTAGTGTCGATCAATTAACGTTTTCAATTTTGTGAACAAGTAACGCACAACGAACGAGTGATTTCGACTTAAAATTTAGAGTGGGCTTCTTGGGACATGTAAAAAATGTTAAAATTAACATTTTATTTTTTATTGTGTGCGGCAACAGAATCAGTGCGTTCTGGTGCCCGATACGCGCGAGTTACAAGCGCAAGTTTACAAGTGGATCTCCTGCGGCTCTTGCGTATTTCTTTTTCTCGCTCAGTTTTATCCCGTCGCGCTTCCCGACGCGATTTAAACGCGTCACGATGATCTTATGGCGACTGGCGAACAGCACGCTGATAATTACTCATACAGCTACGACAAGATCGCGTATTATGTAGAGAGCGAGAGAGGAAAAGTTTACAGTGCGAATTACGGGCGCGGAAACGTTCGGAAACTATCAAAAGTAGACGTTCTTATTATTAGACGGAAGTCTGCCGTGTGAACTATTAATAGTCCAGTATTACATAACTGTCGACTTTCAACGGGAAGCTGAAAACTTGTGACAGCCGCGGTGCGCCAATATTTATAGGTTCGATCTTGCGAAACTACTGAAAAAAGCAATTACACGTTGGATCGAAATATTTGTCGCGGTAAGGATGACGATGCAACGATGGCAATTAAAAATTAATATCGCGTTTGAATAAATTATTACGTAAGCCCACCATAAGAGAAACTTTATTTCAAGACGTCTTTCCGTGGAAGACTGTCCTGCCATTTCGAGATCCCCCTCGCAATTTCTTCTCGAGTTCTCGCGGAATAAGATCATCCGGACAGACCGAGGAGCGATGTCTCCGTTCGAACGTCCCTGACGAATTCGTCTTTCGAAAAAGATCGCGATATATAAGTCTACATTCAGAGAAAGAATGATCGCACTCAGGAAAATGTTTTGCTAGTCCAGGAAGAATTCTAAATGTCACAGGTAAAATGTATCGCTATTTTTTGTATCTGCTAGAAAATTGTGTGTGGTATATATAATTTACAACAGCAGCATTCTAGCAATATGTGCAAGAAAATTTAGATCGTGTTATTAATTTTTAATAAGAAATATGACTGGTTTTAATTCGAATGGGCTCCATAGAGAGATTTTTTTGCTAAATTAGACAAATAGTTCAGATAATAATTTTGTCTTTGTCACCTATATTGAGTAGATACAACACACATGTAACATTGAAGTATTTGCTAGATACTTATTCGTCTTAGCTGATTTCTGGTATCTATATAATTTTTGCTATGACCATTTTTTGAATGTCCGTAAAAGCTAAAATCTAGCTGTGACAGCTAAAATGTGGTCTTGTAATAGAGATAGCCAATGTTGTCAGCGCAGATAAATTTATCAACCGTTTAAATTTAAGCGCAACAGCGAAAAATATTAGATCGCACAGTAGTATTGAATCATAACTTTCCCGAATAGAAATTTATTATTGCTTTTTTAACAGCAACTTCAAGGTGTTAGTGTATACTGATTTCGTTTGAAACTTAACCATTTGCTCGAAATTTAGTCATATCTCGGGTACTATATCACTTCGGCAATTGAAACAAACATATTTCGTATTGCTTATAGGGTGGGCCATTTTAATGTTCCCTAAATATCTTTTTTCCACAGCTCTTACAAAAAAATGTTTCAAACAAAAGTTGTAGATGGAAACATAATATCTTGAATTGTCTTCAAGTGGTGCTTTAGATGGTCACTTAAAGGTCAACTTCATTTTTTAAATGAAATTATATAGTTTCTTTAACATAAATCGATTCCTCTGTTTATTCTGCGAATAAAAAAGTACTACGGCATCATCGAAAAGTGAGGTACTTTCTTCCGAGATGTTTTATATTTTATTTTGATACTATTTACGACATAAATACAAATTATGAAATATCTCGTAATTTAAAATCTTTATATTATGTCCCCCTCGAAGCTCGACAACTTTCGTTTAAAATATTTTTTTGTAAAAGGCATAGGAAAAAATAGATTTAGATATGGACGTTAAAACGGCCCACTTTGTATATGTTATAACTAGAAAGAGAGAAAAAGAGCCAACCTTAGCTACTGATGTTAATAATTTCAGTTGATAAAGTTGCACAATCGTTTATCTCTATTTTTATGGATTTCGTTAATTATTACTTATCGTTACTCCGCAAAAACAGGTCAATCCTAATCGCCATCATGACCTAGCACACGCGAGTGTTCTAACTCGCGAGACGAGAAGCCGAAGAGGCAAAGAGAAAGAGAGGGAGAAAAAGAGAAAGAGAGAGTTCGAAGGTGGGTAGGTGGTTTTAAGGGCGGAAGGGTGTGATCACCATGGAGACCGACCGGTCGATTTCCGCGTGAATGTCCGTCTGCGGAATAACATTGCGATATTAAATTTCCACGGTAAAAGCCGTCTCGGTGATCCGAGTCGTGACGAAATGAAATGTAAAAGTGATCTCTGTTCACGTTGGAAGCACGTCCGTTGTGCTCGAGTCTGCTCTCGGCTCGAGGTGCACAAGTGGTCTCGATGTCTCGCGGTAGCAAAAATTGCCGCTCGCTTCGGGATTGAATTTCGGCAATCTGTCGCAAATCACGTGTACGTGAAGCGTCATCGTCGGCTGAAACGATTCCGCTGAACACTTCAAATCGATATGACATACGTGCGTATGTGCCTCTGTGCGTATCGACAGCACACGCGTAAGTAATATACGGGCGTTGTACTTTAATTCTAAATATCTGAGATATACGAATACTTTTTCAAAAGAGAAGATACAGTCTTATCATGAACTTGAGTATTTATTTAATTGTTCTTTAAATAAGATATATCTGTGCCGGCAGGTTCTCAAAACGCTACAGATAACATCTTTCTATCTATCGCGGGAAAAAAAATCAGTCTTAAATCAATAATAGATATTCTCATAAATAAGAAAAAATATTATAATGTTATAATGTTGTTCGATTTTTAGTCTTGATTTGATCGCATTTGTATTGATGCAAGTATTATTTGCACTCATTTATATGATATCTATCATTAATTTAAGATTACTTTTTCCGTGTATTAAGAAGAGAAAGCAAAATAAAAACAAACAGAGACAGACAGAGAGGGAAAGAGGGAGGGAAAGAGGGAGAGAGAGAGAGAGAGAGAGAGAGAGAGAGAGAGAGAGAGAGAGATGAAAGAGAAAAATACACATAATATTTTTAAAAGATATCGCGCGCAATATACTGTGCCGAGGAAAAATATCTAAAGTTTTCTGCGATATATCCACTTATATAATGCATACAGAATTAGAAATTCACACAATAACAACGTGTTGATAACACAACATATAATCACATCGACAATGAAATTGCAGCTGAGATACTTAAGCACCTAAACGCACGGAAAAGAAAGAAGTAATTCCCACAGTTAAGAATTAGCTGTCCATATAATAATCTGAAATTTAGTTAATTTAACACAAATTTTTCTTATCCGCGTATCTAGTTTTTAGCTCCCTGCCAAAAACTAGGTCCGATAATTAAATTTCAGTTGTATTATTATTATTATCCATTTATTTGCGGGAAGATTCCCTTTGGTACGTCGATTACGAGTAAAGATTCAACACATAATTTTGAAGAGCAAAAAAAGTAAAAAAAGGAGTGATAGAAAAATTTACATTAAAAAAAGCTTTTATATAGACAGTTAATTTCTTTTTTCTGCGCGCCCGAGTACGTGTTTGCGAATATGTTTGTAGATAAAAGAGAAAGGGATAATTTCGCGCGAGCGCGTCTCGTTATCAAAAAGAACACATATAGATCGAGTAATTGTTATCTAAATAGAAATTTACTCGAGGTAAAAATTCGCGCAAATCGAACGTACGAATAACGCGTCGGCTCTTTGATAATTTTGATATGCTTATCGATTATTTGCCCAATTTGCGGGAGATTCGTACCAACGATAAACTCGTTTATCTTACCTGTTGAGCGGGCATAGTGGATGACGCGATACATAAATTTTCAACGAGTCGCGAAACGCTTTCGCGTTAGACCTGTGCACGACGCGCCGTTGCTGAATATCGCAGAAAATTCGGAGCGAATGCGTTCGTCAGTAGCGCACGCGTGTTTTTTTTGAAAGCCCGTCGAATTGATTATCATTCGCAGCGAATTCGACGAATGAGTATGAATAAATAAACATTCGCACGGCAGGTTATCGCGATCTTAACTTCCTCGAAGTGCAGCGCTTCGGATAAACCGCACATCCGTTCGGAATGTCGGTGATGATAAATTGCAGGAGGCGATATTTAAAGAGCAACTGACAAACGACGAGGGCATTCAGAGAGAGAGGCGCGTGTATACCCGGGAAAAAAGTTTATACATAATCATATATAATTATATATAATTATCTATGTAATTTATATATGAATGTTGTCTTTATATGGTTACATATATAATTATATATGATTATATATGGACATGTATATAGACAAAATTCATACATGATCATTTTTTTCCCGGGTAATACATTTTTAGCAGGCGCGCAACATCATCGCTTAAAATGAAAGGGCGTTTTCACGCGGCCCGAGGAGCGTCTAGGAGCGAGCGAGCGAAGAGAGCTCGCGAAAGTGAGGAAGGAAAATATCAATAATGATGATGATAATAATAACGGTGTCGTTAATTATTAATAGTGGAGGAAAGGCGTCAACGCACGCGACGACGTGTCGGCTTGGTTCCCGGGCTCCACTTCCCGGCTGAAAGCTTAAAATAAAAATTTACAACAGACACCGCGCTCACCAATTTTTTACTTTTATTATCATCGCAATTTATTACCTTGGTCTCTATTTTATCGAGCTTTTAAGTAACCCGCCTTTTAGCAAAGATAAACGAACGACACTGAATAACTGGAATAACTGAATGTATGGTGTTGAATGATAAATAAGTATATTCAACGTATCTTAGCCACACGATTCTTCCCAAAGAGAATGACACATGACTTTCGAATTTCGAGAGCTCGACATAAACCGATTCAGTGCGCACATACACATGCGCGTGAAGGATACATGAATTATGAATCTTCAACTGCTCAACCGGTCAAACATAGCGGCGATTTTGGCAAGTTATAGTCCTCGGTCTCCGCGTAGGAGAGCACGCGTAGACACAACTGTTCGAGAAGCAACTGTGCCAATTTCGGCGAGTGTCTCTACGAACTTGACCGTCACCTCTGGATCCACCGCGCGCTCTTAGGCAGCGACTGTTACACCTAACCAACCCACCGCCGCCGGGTCGCCGAAAAAGAAAAGCAAAGGAGTGACCATCGGGGGGGAAAAGGGAGGAGATGAGAAAAACAAAGAAAGGGAAATTAGCGTGCGTGCGTGAGAGAGAGAGAGAGAGAGACGCGTTGTCGGGCGGCGCGCGTTTACGTGCCACTTACCAGGGAGCAGCTCGCGCTGCGAATTGTCGCCGAAAATCTTGCGCGACCCAACACAGGCGTCGTTGGAGGAAGGAGCGTGTCGCTTAGTCCGCTTACTGAGATGACTTCGTGCATTCGACCTCCTGGTTTTTTTCCGTCGCTTGCGACCACGCTTGCGACCTGGCCAGATCTCCACATGCGTCCGTCTCGCCTGAGGACACCCGGTACACTGAGAGAGCGAGCGAGGTTCAGGGGCCTCGGATCCACGTCATAGGAAAGGCTCTCGCCGCACCTGACCTCCCACTCTGGCGAAGCGCGCGTGTCAGCCGCGTTTCGTCTCGCCTCGCCGCGCCTCGTCTCCTCTCGTTTCGTCGAGCCTCGTCCGACCTCGTCTCGCGCCCGGCGCAAAAAGACAGCGGCTACGACATGTCGTAGCCTCGTATGCGCGCCAATGCGAACGCGAACTCGACTCAGTAGTGTACACACTCGAGGTGCCCCTCGCGGAAACAAGGAAACTGTTTCGCAACTGTTGGAATTTTCGAGTGCGCTCCGCGCAAATTTTCGTGTTAACACTTTGAAGCCTTGGCCTTAAAGATGATTTATTAATGGGATCGTAGACACTTTTGATGTCTATGAAAAAATTTTCATTCTTGATGTATGTTGTCGTAGCTTTGCAAGCAATATATCAATTTTAAGTGTGAAAAAAAGCACATTAAATAGCCAGACCCGAGTTATACTCGGGCTTCGGACAATTGTCGTCTGCGCGCTACCCCGACCTTTACTCGGGCTTAGGACAGAGTGTTAATTTAACGCAAGATAAATACGTTGAAAAGTAACACAGATATTGTGTCAAAAATGAATACAAAATTAATATCCATAATGTATTAATCGACACCCAAGTGTAAAATGTGTTGTTCTAATACTTAAAAGTGTTATTTCGGCACGTTTCGACGCACGTTGAATATCGACTTAACACAAAATATTAAGATGACGTGAATACAATGTGTTAAATTAACACATGCGTATGTTAAAAATGTAACACGAGAATTTTAACGAGGGTCGACTTTAACACAAGTGCAAAATGTTTTTACTGTATACGATTTTGTATCTAGAATTAACAGATTTATAAAATGATATAAATAAATAATCAATTTACTTCGTCCCCCATTTTTTTATATTTGCTAAAAATAGATTGATCACAAATGCCGTTCTAAAAAGTGGGTCGCGGTTCATACAAGTTTGAGAAACCTTGCTCTAGGTCTAAAAGAATAATTCAATATCAGCTCAGGAAAATTCCGACAGTTGCAAAAAATAAACATCTTACTGAACTGAAACGACCGGCTGAATGGCGTTCAGCAGAACTTATTTTAAAACTGTTGAAAGTTTTCCGTGCTGAGATTGGATTATTCCTCTAGAACTACAAGAATAATCCAATCTTAGCTGGAAAAACTTCCAACGGTTACAAAATAAACGTTCTGCTGAACGTGATCAATGGTTGCACTCAACGGAAGAAAGAAGCTCAGTGAGCGCTTAGATTATTGCCTGTAATTGGAGTATTCTTTTAAATCTTTTATGATCTAAGAGAATCATATTAATCGGGATTAATAATCATTGAGCGCTCACTGAGCCACTTTCTCTATTGAACGCAGGCAATGTCAAAAGAAATTACATCGAAGTTTTTATAAAATACTTGTCAATTTTTTGTCTGTCCTTATATAAAGAAAAGTATCATTATCTCATACTGAGAGAGGCGATTATATTCAGTTTATTTCCTTTCTTTTTGTAATAATTATCTTCAACAGAGAATATTTTCATAATAACAGTCTCAAAATATTTGTCACAAATTTGAAAAATGCTCATTGTCACGTATTCAAAAGAGAGGTTCTCTTTTCAAGAATATTATAAACTTTATCGAAGAAAAGTTAATCTCGGGTAATTTGAATAAATAAACCGAAGTTCGTTTTAATTTAATATTCTTGATTAAAGCGCTAAATTTATCAGAATTCATAATATATTTTGAATAAACGTGATGCTTATAACAAACTCATGATATATTTGCGGATATATCAACTTATAACATATTTGAAACAAGTAACATTTACTTGAATGCAATATTTCTCTTTGTGTATATACCGATGGCATATGAATCAATACTTTGTGTATCACTATAAATTTAACATATAAAAAATATATAAACATAAATACTATAATGTATAAATATAAATAAATATAAATAAATAAAAATACGCACTATATAAATAAACATAAACACTATGTACGTCGGCACTATAAATTCTAGCAAAAAATGTCAACATTTTACGCGCTCGGGGAAGTGAAATCGAAAACACGAGTCTGTTGAGGTCGGTCATGTGTCCGGTGACGTCGCTGACGCATGCGCGTGGTGGTCCCCTGTAGCTCCGGAATTTAATTCGCAATCTTTCCAGACCGGCTCTCGTCCTTCTGGTCTTTTTCGTCTGGCCATGCCTGGACTCGCCTTTCCCGGCTGTCCCGCAACGTCACGCTCGCAATCGCCGAAAACGCTCCCGACGAGAACGCTCCGCGATAAGTCGATAAAACCGTCCGCTGCTATTCGCCGCGGTTATTCCCGAGTCGCCAATGGCATCGGCGCGCACACGCGCGTTTCTCAATTACGCCGGTGGACAGACGGGACGCGAGGAGGGCATCGCGCGTTTTCGACAACCAACGCGTGGAAAATCGCAGAGAGAAACGCTCGTGGAAGGGAGAAAGAAATTTTCCTCGTCAAAAATAAGTCGCGCAAAGAAGTCGTGATCTCATACGAAAGAGCACGTGCGCGCTCGGCGCTATTGCGACGCGCGTTACCGCGCGGCTTACTCAAGCCGCGTTAATCTTATCGGTCATTATCGCTAATTATCGTTACGAAAATGAGGACGAACGCGCGAGTAAATGCACATCGCTACACGGCCGCGCAGCGAAATCGGAAAACTGCGGGCAATTTTGACGAGTCTCTCATGCAAATCGGTCGAACGAGCTTTACTGCGCCAAGAGAAATTTTCATCTCTTTCTCTCTCTCTCTTTCTCTCTCTTCCTCTCTTTCTCTCCATTTCTTTCTCACACTCATTCACTCACTCACTCTCTTTCTCTATCTATCCATCTATCTATCTATATCTCTCTCGCGCGCACGATCGACGTACCTTTTATCGCCAAGTTCATCGGCTGTACGTTGCGGGGGACGGCGGCGACGGCGGGGAGCGGCTTTTGTGCGAGAGTAAAAATATCCGCAAACAAATGAGCAATCGATAAACATTATCTCTGCTGTGTCGATGTGATGACGCGAATCGATGCGATCAACGTCAGCCGGGGCTATGCGACGCCACCCGACGCCCTCGGACGTCACCCGCCGAAGCGACGGTTCACGCGCGCACACACACACATCCTCGGCTGTCGGTAACCCGGCGCGCGCATGGCTTCGACGTGCGCGCCGAAAAGCAAAATCGAACATCGATACATCGCAAGGTGTCGAGTATCGAACCTTCCTTTTCGAGTCGCTGTTTGAACCAGTGGAATCTTCGACGGCATAAACGTCTAATCCTTTAGAAAATTGTATTATCTGAAATTCCGTATGGAGGTGAAAACTCGGTTCCCGTAGAACTGGATTTTTCGTTATCTGGGGACCAGATGAACTCTTGATTGGGGAAAGCGAAGAATCCTTGTAGGAATTTCAATTCAATCAGTTATCAGTTGTTATTTCCACTGATTCTTTACCATCGAAACCTTCAATATTCTAGGTAGAAATAACAATTTTTAAGCGAAGAATCTTTGTAGGAATTTCAATTCAATCAGTTATCAGTTGTTATTTCCACTGATTCTTTACCATCGAAACCTTCAATATTTTAGGTAGAAATAACAATTTCTCAAAGAGACGTCTTAAAACCCTATAAACGTATAATATTATTTAATAATAAGTAATATTTCTAGAGTATTATATGTCCACTCCTAATAATATAAAAAAAAATAATATTATTTAATGTTATTGGAATATTATATATTTTTTAAATATTCAATTCTATATACATATATATATATATATATATATATATATATATATAAAATATATGTAATTGTAATTTTTTTATTTCAAACATATTGCAATACCAATTATTTTATTATATAAATAAAATCGAAAGAATTTTGTGTGAAAATACGTTTTATACTAAAATATTATATATATACATATATATATATAATATATTTATATATATTTTTCTATATTATTATTATTTTAAATATTCTTAGAATGTTATAGGAATATTGTTTTAATATTAAATAATATTCATATAATATTCTAAGAATATTATGCGCTTATAGGGAAACGCTTTAAAGAATGTTTGAGGAAATACGATAATAAATACATTAAAGGCATCTTTAAGGTATCTTTAAGACTTCTTTTGTGGGTTTCTGTCACCTGGAATTTTTTTTCTATTCAGCCAGTTGTTCTAAACCTATAATTAACCAAATTGAATAGAACCCAGACAGCGCGAAACCTAAAACCGGGGACATAAGACGTCTTAAAAACATCTTTAAAATATCTTAAAGCTTCTAAGTAGTCGTTGCAATTTTCTTTAATTGATGACGTCAGAAGCGAGAAAACGCATGTTAAGAATTCTTGCCTTTTACGTTCAAATAAACAGATATACTCACAAAATGACATTTGTGATCGATTCAGTACACTTGTAAAATTGTCCGTGTACTTTTCTTTTATTCGAATAAGCAATAAATAGTCGTAAAATTAACATTGACAAAATCATGAGAAAAGAGGTTAACACTTTCACAACCGCATGTTAGCGCAGTGAAACATCGCCAGTGGCCGGCAATATTTTGGAAGAAAAAACTTTACGTAAATTCATGAAACAATTAACATTATTATGACGTGCTAAGAAAAGTTTTGCAAGTGGCTTGCCACTGGTACCACGTGGGAGTCACCGGCAAATAGCGACTGGCCTATCAATGGTACCACGTGAGTGTCACCGGCATACAACGACTGGCCTGCCCATGACACCACATTGGTGTCAGCGGTTGTGAAAGTGTTAAAAATGAGTGTTTCCGTGTCAAATTAATTTTGCGATTGTTTATTGATTTTTCGGATAAAAGAAAAGTGCACGGACAATTTTATAAGAGTACTGAATTTATCACAAATGCCATTTTGTGATTAAATCTTTTTATTTGAACGTAAAACACAAAAATTCTTGACATGCGTTTTCTCACTTCCGACTTCATCAAATAAGGACAGTTGCAACGACTAACCAGGAGCCTTAAAGTAGTCTGTAAGAAAGACGTCTTATACTTTACTTTTAGATTTTGTATTGTCTTGGAAGCGTCGTTTCCTGTCACTGAGTTTTCATCTCCTCACTTTTTACACCGAGTTGCTCTTTCTTTGTGCACTAAATAAAGATTTCCGATCTCCACTACCCTTGCTTTATTTCTCTTCGTTTCGTTTATAATGCATAGAATGCGTAGAATCGGCTCTTAAGATGCACGGTGCGGGGATACCTGTCGTTTAAACGCACGTGTGTAATACATGCATGTGTATGTGTGTGTCGGTGTGTTCGAACAATATCGTGGAATAATAATAGCGAGAACCGAAGCCAACGAGAAAGTCAGCACCGGATGACCAGGTGTGCCGTCGGTTGTTCTTTATTTTTCGACAAGCATCCACCACGCAGTTGTATATACAATTCGAAATTCGAGAAACGCGCTTTTCGTCCGAAGCTTGCTCTTCGGGCAACAGAGACACTGCTCTCTTGAAGAGAATCAGCGTGACCATGTTTCCGATTAAATCGGTAAAACATGTTTCATCGATATCAGTGAGTAGACCCAGTAAACATTTTACGCGTGGATACTCAGTGAAGCACGCGTGAAGATTGCTCGTGTGCGCAGGCAAAACCTTATGCTAGTGCGTCATCATAGAATTATGATTTGCAAAATTTTGCGTGTGATATTCTCAATATGAAAACATGAAACATTTCGCATGTTCCAAACATGCAAGTGAATTGCGTGAATATGACAAACGACCTACGAGCAGATATCTAATTCAAAAGCGTAATGTATTGTAATCGAATCGAATCATGAATCAAATGCTGGCAGTGTGTTAATCATTTGCACGAAATTTATCTATTATCTAATAATATTAATAATTAATCTTAATAATAATTAAATAATACGTATATTTTTTCACTTGTCAATTTGTGTGGAATATACACGACTGAACATATTTCACGAATAAAACGTGAAAAAGTCTTATACAGGACTTGCAGGCGTAACAAGTGCAAGCTTCGCGCGTGAGAGTTATTATCTATGTTCACTGGTTTTCAATAAAAACACCCCCACTTAGCTCCTGCTGTAGTCTTGAGGTTCAGACACAATGAAAGAAATAAGGGACAAGGAATTAAATTTCGACTGGAGCTACCAGATAATGAGACGCGGGATATGTTACGTGCATGTTGTGGCATCGCGCGTCCCACGATTTGACAGTTCGGCATATGGACAATCATGCTTCAATCTACAATAAAGGAATAGAGAATTAGGATTAGAAGTACTATCGAAATTCTACTTCTTATAATTTGCATGTTTAGCAATTAACTGAAAGTTAGCCTTCAAAATGTCTAATCACCACCGATGTACAGATAGAAATCAGTTTGAATTAATCAATAATTATCAATAAAATGATAAAAGTGTCAACGATAACAGTAGAAGTTCATTATAAAAAAAATATCCAGACAGCACAATGTCCAAAATCGGGACATAAGACGTCTTTAACACATCTTTAAGATGTCTTAAGGACGTCTGTGAGTAAGTCGTCTTAAAAACATCTTACAGATATTTTAAAGACATCTTAAGTCTCAATTTTAAATATTGTACTGTCTGAATAATAAAAGTGGTTATCTCGCTTTAAAATCATCTTTATATCTTATTCTCTATTTTTCTTTTATTGTGTTTTAAACTATAGCTTATTCCTAATTCATTGTATTTAATTCCTTGTTTCTCATTCCTTATTTTGTCTTGGACCCTTACACTTCACGGATTTCGGCTGGTGAAAGTAAGATTTCACTGCAAAATCTGTAATATTCCACCGGCTGCTATTATTAAGCTAAATTCCTTCCCGCGAGATTTCACTGCGTTTACAGTGCTAAACTCGTAACTGATTTCACTGTTTTTCAGTGACAGCGCACTGATTCCATCTTAGAGAGTGGTGCGCGCATAGAGATATAAGAATAGAGGGAACAAGCCTGTAAGTGGAAGTGAT